ACTAAGTTCTTCATCCTTCGGTGCCATGCGAATTTTATTATATCTAGACGAACCATCCATGAAAGACATCACCTCATATCTAGTCATGACATCAATTATGAGCTCCGGGATGGGAGGAGGAAATTCATATTTAAGACAAGCATTATTTAGGTCCCTAAAGTCAACACAAACTCGGATTTGGCCATTGTTCTTTCTTACAGGGACGATGCTTGAAATCCATGTAGGATATTTAAATTCACGAATGAAACCATCCTTAATAAGCTTGTTAACTTCGGTTTCAACCAAGGGAACTAGTTCAGGTCTAAAGCGACGTTGTGCTTGCTTTACGGGACGAGCACCTCGTTTGACAGCAAGATGATGAACAACCACCTTGGGGTCTAAACCTAGCATTTCTTTGTAGCTCCAAGCAAATACGTCTTTGAACTCCTTAAGTAGCTCAATATATTTGCTCTCTCCATCATCAGTTAGAGAGGAACTTAAATATGTGGGGCTTCAACAACTCCGAGATTGACTTCTTTTAGTGCATCAACCGTTGTCTTCACCCCTTCTTCAAGCTCAGGTGGTGCATCTTTAGCGTCTTCATCCTCTTGAGGATCACAATCATTGAAATATATGTGATGACATACACAAATATCAAGGCACTTTTCCTCGACTTCCATATAAGATGAAGCATTTTGTTCGTCATGAATGGTGATATAATATGATGACCCTACACTTTCTTCATCTTCCTCATGTTCTTTAGTATGGACTATAGTATGAGCCTTTGCTTTGAGGACCTCTCCATACGAAACTACAAGTTTGGTCTCTCATCTCATTCTAGAAGGAATCAGACTTGGGCAGTCTGTGGTCAAAATCTCCTTTTAGTGAAGATAGGTGCTCCAATCCTTCTATTACTTCCACGACGCTTGTTTTCCTTCTTTTGTGGTCCCAACCTATCAACGACTGAGGTCCTTGGTTTCGTAAGTCGATCAAACATGGAAGGCTTCTCATTAAGCGTCGTAGAAATGTTTTTAGCAGTAATATAGTTACAACTTGCCCTTTTAATGGAGATACGGATTGGCGAGGGTTGTTTGTAACCCAAACCTTCACGTGATTTCTTTAGTGAGTACCCTTTCTCCATCATCATCTTTTGAGTAGGGTTTGAAGCTTCATGCATGAGCTTTCCCAACTTGGATGGTTCATTGGGGATCATATCTAGTTTTTGCTAACAACTTGTAGGCATTTGGGTCAAAGCCCTCATCTGTGCGCTTTGCAGGAAATGCTAGATTTAGAAGCGAATTGTCATTTGATGATTTGACAAACCCTTTAAGCAACTTTGTAGATGACTTAATTGCATCAATTCGCTTGATAGGAAGGGTCAAGTCTCCTAAAACATTACCTTGTAGTTCAGAAGATAGGTCTTCAATCTTCCTTGCCTTTGGGACATAGTGAAGAACATGAGTCACTCTCTTACTTGAAGATGCCTCATTCATCTTGTTCCTATCATAAAGCACCTGATCTTTTTCAACAGTAATCTTTGCCTTGCTAGTTGTGACATCAACCTTCTTTGCAACACTTTTGGTCAACATCATATCATCGACCTTAACCTCCTTTGAGACGTAATTCTTTAAGTAGAATTTTGCACTAGAAAAGTATGATTCAGCCTCGGTAAAGGGCTTATTATCAGCAACTATCTTCTTTTCGACCCCATCTTCACAGTACTTCAAGCGTTGATGGTAGGTGGATGAAACCACTTTGTTCTCGTGTATCCATGGTCTTCCTAACAAAATATTATATGAGGTATTTGCATCGATCACGTGCATCCATACACTCGAACGCATATCTCCCATATTGATTTCTAATTTGATGGCCCATATAGCTCTTTTCCCCCTTGATTGAACCCTTGAATCATCAAATGACTTTCACATAGTTCATCCATCGGTATGCCAAGCTATTTGACAGTAAAAATTGGGAGAATATTGACGCCAGATCCATCATCGATCAAAATTCTACTTATTATCTGTTCTCTCACAAAGCCAACCATAAATAGGGGACTATTATGGTGTGTTTCACCAAGAAAAAGATCATCATTAGTAAATGTGATTTTTGCATCACAAATGACCACTTCTTCAGAATTCTCAGTGAGTTTTTCAAACAGGGGAGGCGGAAGCAATGATGGATCTTCCTTCTTTGTCTCTTCTTCATCTACCTTACAACATGAGACCTTGATATATTCACAGGAAGCTTGCGAGTGTAACCAGCTTGGCAGGAATTCATCCAATGTCACTGGACGATGTAGCCTTTGATAGTGATTCTCCTCCATTTTTGTTTTCTTCCAATTCTTCTTTATCATTTTCTTCTTGTGTCTTTTTACCATTTTCCCCAAGTCAATTGCTTACTTGACTCCCTTTGTGAACTTGTCTTGCAGCGTCTCCGCCAAGTCACAAGAATCCAACCTTCATCATTAGTTTGACCATCATGTGATTCATTTTCCTCTTGAGATCTTTCCTTCACTATTAGTTTATACATTATAGGGATAAGCAATGGTTTGCTCACATTGATAGGTTCACAGTCACCAAATTTAATCATATTTGGTGATGATGCAGTTTGGATGCCATCACATTCAAGTACTTCGACAAAATTGCAAAGGACAATGGGATCAAGTGAACCAAAAACGAAAGAGACTTGATTCAAACTATCTTTCTCATCCTCAAGTAAGATTTTTCCTTCAGCGACCAAGTCCATAACTTTCTCCTTGAAGATAAAGCTCTTTTCAATATGGTGGCCAATCAACCGATGGTACTTGCAATTTTGGATCATTAATCCTTCCAGCTTCGTCTGGCCGCTTCATTTCGGGTAACTCAATGAGTTTCAACTCAAGGAGTTCTTCAAAAATTGCTGGGGCATCAGAGTCCAAGAATGGATATTCTTTCGCTTACATTTTCTTCAGAGTTAACTTTCGGCCAACTTTATCCTGTAAGGACGTTGTCTTCACACTTTGCTTCTTACTCATTTTTGTAGTGATATTTAATGGCGAGGTATTAACATTCATTGATTCTTTGCTCTCAGACTTCGACACAAACTTGCATCTTTTCTTTATTTCTTGTTTATCCTTCACCTTGCGAGGTTCATAAACATGTGGCCCTTGATTCCACTTGAAGACATACTTAACTCCATATCATGAGCACGTGTAGCCAATTCTTCAAAAGACTTAAGGCTTGATACCTTGTAGGATGTAGCGAAGTACCCAATGCATTCCTTTGATACACATTCCTATTCTAGAAGCTTCACTAAGTCTGTCTTTGCAGTTGAGACATGCATTCCTCCATCGATTGATGAAATCAACAACCAGTTCATCCTTCCATTGACGCGTGTTTGTGAGTTCAACCATACTTACTGTGCGCCTTGTGCTATAGAAGTGATTGAGAAATTCATGTTTAAGTTTCTTCCAGCTATCGATGATACGAGATCAGTGTACCAATCAAAAGCATTTCCTTTTAAGGAACGGACAAACTGCTTGACAAGATAATCTCCATATGTTCCATCATTATTACAAGTTTCGATGAAGTGTGCAATGTGTTGCTTTGGATTTCCTTTATCATCGAATTGTTGAAATTTTGGGGGTTGATAACCTGCAGGCATCTTCAAACTATCAATTCTCGCAGTGTATGGTTTTGCATATGCGAGAGAAGACGTGGCAGCAACGTCGTACTTATCTTTGATGGTTCCCATGATGAAGTCTTTCAATTGGTCAATGGGAATAACCCCGTCAGATAAAATCTAAAGTTCTTCAGGAGTCGTTGTCTGCCTTGCAGATGAGTCTCCTTTATCTTGCATCATAGGGAGCTTTCCAGGTGCATGACTTGAATCTCCCTCCATCATGCTTTCAACTCTATCTGTCATCTTGACAATTTGAGTATCTTGATCTTGCATATGCTTCATTAACCCTTCAATTGCCTTTGTTAAATTTGTGAGTTGTTCTTCAACAGTTGAAATGTTAGTCACCATTGCTTGGATAACCGTCGTAGATGGTGGAGCAAAGCATGGATTTTCTCTTACACCATACTTTGAGTGGAACAACTCACGTGGAGAGCTTGGAGCAGATCCAATGACCAAGACATCATCATCATCCTGTGTGATGAGATTCTTAGATCTAGAAGGGCTAGGTAAAGCCAATGTATTCTCAACAATTTCGTCAATGTTCGCTCCTTTTTCCAATTCAGTTGAAAAGGATCTTTCCCCCTTTGAGGATCAGAAATCAAAGATAGGAACTGATGCAGACGACATTTGAAATGCTTGTTGTCCCAGCAAGTTTGCTTTGTTCCTAATGATAGGTCCTACGCTTTCCATAGTAGCATCCAACAAGTTTTCCACATCAGATGAAAATTTGGAATCCGTAGCTTTAGCAGTAGTGAGTTTGAAGTTGATCTTCTTAGGAGCCATTTCTGTGTTCTTGAAATTTGGTAATTTGAAGAGATGAGAGGTAGAGATTGTCCCACTGGGCGTGCCAGAAATTTGTAACAACAAATTTTCACGTCGAAAAAAATAAATAATCAAGACTGGAAAATTGCGTAACAAATGTAGTATTTGATTTCAACAAATGAAAGTACTACAATCTCTATGGTTCCTCTGATTCTTCAAGAATATAAACTATCTTGATGAGCTTGATTTTGATTTTGATTCAAGGGCTTGTAAAGCTTGGCCGTGAATCTCCTTCTTGTGCTTGACTTTGGATTTGATCACGAACAAGTAATTTGATCTTGAACGCCTTAGTATTTGATTTGGCTTCGTTCTTGAACTTGAACTTGAACTTGTAGCTTGAGTGCTTAAACTTGTAGCTTGTAGAGAAATTTGCGGTGTTTGAACAATTACTCCATTATCCATTTAAATTAAACTTTAAAATGTATTAAACTAATCCTAAACATAATGAAAAAGCAACAAATAATTTAAGACGAGATGCAATGAGTGTGTATTAACTGGAATGTCCTTATATGATCCGAAAATGCTTTTTTAACCTTAAACCCTCAAAACCCACCGATTTCAGCTCTTCTTTGTCGATTTCACTAAACTTCATCGTCTTCAACCTCCGGCGACTTCTCAGCAAAGAGATGGCGCCAACTAAAGGCAAAGGAAATGTGAAGAAGAAAGGGAAAGGGAGCTCCAAAATTACAAAGAGCAGAGCTCCAGAATCAACTTCCGACTTCTATTTCCCAAGAGAAATCATCTCTAACATCCTTTCCCGTCTCCCTGTTAAGATCCTTTTACGATTCAGGTGCGTTTGCAAGCAATGGCGAAACCTCATTTCGAAACCCAACTTTATCGCCGCCCATTTCAGTCACTCCTCTGCTCTGCAGCGCAGCGGTTCATCCATTCTTATAGGAACCCGCCATTACGAGTCCTCTCATCATGTACTCTCACTATATACTCCCCCGCCTGAGCCTGAATCATCTTCATCAATTGTGGAACTGGACAGCCCTTTTCCTTGCTTCTTTCCCCATATGTACATTGTGGGTCCTTGCAATGGCATTGTGTGCCTTTTTCAGCCACCTTGGGGTGACTTGATTACCCTTTGGAACCCAGCTATGAGGCAGTCTAGGATGGTGAGGCTTTCTGAAAGTGAACCTGTTATGGGAGTGCACTGTTGGGCATCCATTGGATTGGCTTTTGATCCCCAAGAAAATGATTTTTTGGTGTTGAGAATCTTTACTGCCATGCCAACATCTACAGTCCCGAACCATGTGGAAATGTGGTCAACCAAGAGTTTTGGATGGCAGAAACTGAAAAGTGAGGTGGTTTTTCATATTCCTGGGCATACTAGCAACGTGAACGTTAAAGGGGTGCCTTATTGGTTTGCTACTGTCACTGATGAATTTGGGTGGCGGCCGGTGTTGGTGCGCTTTGATGTGGGTAAAAAAGTATTTGAGAAGTTACCTATGCTAGGAACCGGAGAAAGGAATAAGAAGCATCAACAACTTGTGGTCTTGGACGATTTTCTTGGTAAGTTAACCTTTGATGAAAGAGACGAATCCCATTTTGATGTTTGGGTAATGGATGATGAAGATGGTTGGACTAAAAAATACAAAGTTGGACCGTTGCTCGGGTTAGAGAGAACTATGGGCTGTTTGAGGAATGGAGACATTGTAGCTAAGAACAAAGAAGAAGTGGTGTTCTTGTTTGATCCCGTGACTTGTTCAGTTAAGGCAAACTTGAGCATTGATAGTTCTAAGAATGGTGCATATATGATTTTCGACTATTCAGAGAGCCTAATGCTGATCGGAGGGATGCTACCTGTTAAGAAGCAAAATGCTCGAGATAAATTGGCATGCAAAAAACTCACAAGGTTTGGAGATCAAGTAATCATTATACTATAGTTAATGTTACTATATTCTTGCTTTGTACTGATTGTCAACTCCCACTTTTAGATGTTGTCATTTCTTCAGAGGTTTTCTTATCTTATGTGCACATGCATGTATGTGGTATACAGGCACTTGGTGAACTAAGCACATTTACTTTGAGGTGTTGATATACTATGTGAACAAACTCTATTGTTTACTTTAGTTAATTGTGTGCAATTGGTTGAGATGCTTGTGCGCTGCTGCTATTTATAGCTTCTTTCCATAGCATAGGTCCTAAGGTCCCACCACATGTACTTGTGGGTTATAATAGTCGAGATGCGCACAAGTTTTGATGAATGCACAAGTTAAGAAAACATTGGTCCAAATTGCTCTATTTATCTTGCGGAAGAGTCTTGATGTCTAATAAAAGGATAAACATATATCGAGAAGTGCATTCCCTGGTCTTGGCGCCTTTTGCTTTTGAGCTGGATCTACAATGACAAACTGAAGTGCTAAAGAAGAATAAATGCAACCTTGAATTCAACAGTAGGTCTTTTGTCACAGAAAAGTAGTGATAGCATATCGATCTCCAGCAACTGTCTTTTACATTTTTTGGAAGGGAAACATAGAAAATCTCTAATCTTTGATACCTGAACTGTGTTTGCTTATGTTCTTGCTTTTGGAAGTGTTCAGCAGTTTTGTTACTTTACAGGTTGAGTAGAAGGAGGAGAATTGTTTTTCCCTTTATTTAATAGCAAGATACTTGCAGATATCCATTTGAAGACATCATGAATAGTTGGAAGAGCTACTCTCCTTGAATTCTCCCTTTTTACCTCCCTCTTTTCTGATGAAAGTATTAGAATTTTTGTTGCCTTTGCACAAGTGCTCGTTTCCTCCTCGGTTAATTTGTCTAACAATTTTTTATCAATGAATTGAGTTGTCATGATTTTGGCATCTGTTGACATATATTACATACCGTTTAGTGTGGAGCATGTGTGAGTTGGACTGCAAGAAAGGTCCTTCTAGTATGAAAATTCAGAAGAGAGATACAAAGTGTTTGATGGAGTAGAATTTTTTTTTTTTTTTTGTTCAGATTAGTTGAACATATTTTTTTCTTAAGATATCCTTGGAGTACTTCTAATTTCTAGTTAGTGTTGATGATTGGATGATATTCGTAAAGAAACATGCTTTCTTGTAGGACTTCTAATGAACTTTTTTGTCCTTCGGATATTCTTGGAGTTCTTGTTATATTCCAATTACAGTTGATGCTATTGGTAAAGACACTTGCTTTCTTGTAGGATTTCTAGTGAACATTTTAATTCTTCGGATATTCTTAGTCTACTTCTAATTTTTCAGTTAGTATTTATGCGATTACTAAAGAAACATGCTTTCTTGTCGGATTTTCTACCTTTTGCATACATCTTGTATGTTGGATTTTCTCACTACAATAAAATTTAACTCGTAAAAAGATATTCTGAGAAACTTATGAACAATTTCTTTGATGATGTAGGGCTTGCATTGACTTCATGCTGTGACAACCCTCAGCATGTGAACTTGGCTATCCAGCTTGTGCGGAAGACACCATGTTCGCCCTTTTTTTGCGAACCTCAAAGGTGGCATGAAAAACCTTTTGACGTCTTTTTAGTTGGGAGATGGCATGTATGCAGTTTCCGGTCTGCTTTACAACCCTGTGATGTTTGTATTAGAAGGGTCTAATTCTGATAATCTAACTAGTTGATCAGATTGTTAACCAATTTCTGTCTCTCACTGCACTTATCAAATGTTACTTTATCTATCTATGGTGTATTCATGTTTCTGGTGTAATACTTTTTTGAGTTTTTCTTTCCCTGCATAACATCTCTCTTTGTGTTCCCTTTTGAGTTTTTTGTTGTCTTAATTTATGTCCTCCTTAGGTAGTTCTTTGTGGTTCGTAGTTATTTGCATATATGGAAACTGGTCTGACTATGATCAAAGATATTTGCTTGTTTTAATCTTGTCCCGAAATGTTAGCTTGCGCTTATCATAGCATTTCAAAAAGTTAATTCTACCAGTAGTTCTAACCCTGGTAGAGAAGCTTCTCTTCTCACTAAGAAGAATGGAAAAAGGGAAGGGGAAAGGTCTGATAAGCACATTCTTAAATTCCTTTTTTCCAAGTTCAATTTAAGGTTATATGGGCAATTCTAATTGGTACTCACCCAATTAAAACCAATGAAGCACAAAATTGAATATGTAATGAATATGCCCAAGAACAATTAAGCAAAAGATATTCATTTACATTAATTAAGCAAAATTGTTCATCACAATGTCGCTATGGGGTGTAATTGGTACTCAAAGATCTTAGCCTCTTGAAGCGTATCCAGTTAAGACTCAATATCACAACACTCGGACCAACCATTTTTATAGGATTATTATTTAAAAAAGAATGATCGCTCAACCTTCATTTTACTGCACCAACGTTATTGATGATCGTGATATTTAGATAGAGTTAAGTACGTTGATGCAATAAAGTTAAAATTGAGTAACAGTTAGTGAAATTATCCGTATAAATAATATTTCAATATAAACTAAATTTTCATATAAATGTACATGTTTAAAAAAGTTTAATGGCCAAATACTCGTGAGAAAAGTTTTAGAAAGGAAAGAACTAATCAAGTACTTATCCAACTATACATCTTATGAAATAAAGTCCAAAAAACGATTTAATAACCTTTCCTAAAAAAAAATAAAAATAAAAATAAAAAAAATTCATCCAAGATGATGCCAAACAGACAGGTGACTGCCGTGCCAGATATGGGCACAAAACACAAATAGGTGGGAGAGAATGTACTACTTGTCCGCAAATTTAAGGCAAATATTGCAGGTGTTACATTAATGTAACTGCTTCCTTATCCTAATCTCTTCTTTGGCTATTGTATAAATACATAGTATCACCTCTAGCATCCACAAATTATTTTCACAATATAATTATCTGGTCCAAATTTTAATTTTAAATCTATTAAACATCCTCAACATTGATATGAAAAAGCAACAACGAGTGAATAATTATGTAGTAGTAATAACAAATGTAGGAGTAGAAAAAAGACAGGACTATTACATGATTAAAAAGGACATTTAATTGGACTGTCCTTTTTAATCCAGAAATACTTTCACCACCTTTGTTAAACCCTCAAAACCTTGCCAATATTAGGCTGTCCTCTGTAGATTTCATTTTATAGTCTTCAACCTCCAGCCACTTCCGACATAAGATGCCACCAGCTAACGGTAAAGGGAAAGGGAAAGGGAGCTCCAAAACTACAAAGAGCAGAGCTCCAGCTGACCCAACGAAGTCCGACTTGTATTTCCCAAGAGAAATCATCTCTAACATCCTTTCCCGTCTCCCTGTTAAGATCCTTTTACGGTTCAGGTGCGTTTGCAAGCAATGGCGAAACCTCATTTCTAAGTCCAACTTCATCGCCGTACATTTCCGCCACTCCTCTGCTTTGCAGCGCAGCAGTTCATCCATTCTTATACACACCCGCCATTACGAGACCTCTGACCATGCACTCGCACTGTACAATCGGCGTGATGAATCAGTTGTCGAGTGGACAACCCTTATCCTTGCTTCTTTCCCAATATGTTCGTTGCGGGTCCTGTCAATGGAATTGTGTGCCTTTGTCAGCCACCTTGGGGTGATGTCATTACTCTGTGGAACCCAGCAATGAGTCAGTCTAGGATGGTGCCTCTTTCGGGGAACCAACCCGATAAGAGAGTGCACTGCTGTGTATCTATTGGATTGGCTTTTGATCCCCTAGAAAATGATTTCTTGATCTTGAAAATCTTTTGTGAGAGGGTCGCATTTACTGGGCCGAACCATCTTTTTGATATTGTTAGCTATACTTCCCTTGCGATCGTTAAAGGGGTGCCTTATTGATTGGATTTTATAGATGATGAATTTGGGTTGCGTACAGTTTTTGTGCGCTTTGATGTGGGTAGAAAAGTTTTCCAGATTATACCATATCTAGAAAGTAGGGGTGGGAGTTCGGTCGGTTCGGTTCGGTTTTAAAAAATTCGGTACGGTTATTTGATTTTCGATTTTGTAAAAGTAGTAATCGAAACTGAACTGAAATAAGTTTGGTTCAGTTCGGTTTCCTAATTTCGGTTCGGTTTATTTCGGTTCGGTTTTCGATTTTAACATTATCATATTGGGCTATCTCTATGTAATAATTGGACTGACTAATTTGTTGGTTTTATTTCAAAATTTCGGTAAATTAGACTAAAACCGACCAAAAATAGTTGGTTTGCTAATAATTCGGTTTTTCGGTTAACCGAACCAAATAAATTAATAACCGAAAACCGAACCGAAAAATTAAAATTTTAAATCGAAACCGACCGAAAAAATCGAATAACCGAAACTGAAATAAAAATATTTTCGGTTCGATCGATTTTTTCGGTTCGGACCGAAATCTGCCCACCCCTACTAGAAACTGGAGAAAGGACTAAGCTAGATGTTGCGGTTGTGGAGGATTCAATTGGTATGTTAACCTCGGAGGAAAAAGGCAAATCCTATTGATAGAAACTAAAAGTACACCAAATTGTATAGAACCTGGTTCTCTATATGTTCTCAGAGAGCGCACACACATTAGTAAGTAAACGACACAGTAGAATTTTATATGAAAAATTTTCAGTTCACGGGATTAAAAACCACGACCTACCCTTATAGGATTTCAACTTCACTACTGAGCAAACTTTAGATTACAACCTCTTGTAACCTAGGAATTAACTCCTTAATCCCTTACTAACTTGTAGCAACTATATTACAAGCCACTTTGTAATAGCTCTATTACAAAGACTTACAACTCGACTAAACCTAGCCAAGACACAAACACAGAGTTTATGATTAAACAAAAATTTCTTACACAATTGCTTCTAACCAAGCTAAGTAGAAATTACAAGTAAGAAGCTTTAACAAAGGTACAACACAACCAAGGACATGTGATGACTCGATGCAGGGAACTGGTCCTTGTTATGTAGTTCTTTGTTCTTGAAGCACTTGAGAATCAATTGCTGGATTGATGCACAGACTTGAGAGAAAGCTGGATTGATTCTTCAAAAATGTTCAAGTGATGTTTGTCTTTGGCTTATGTTAATATAACATTGCTGACATTACTTGAATGATGCAAGCATGTTTGGTACAGGAGCATTCCCAATGAAGTTGACTGTTACACTGTTGCATGTGCAGGCAGCAACTTTACAGCTGTTGGGGAGTTGACTGGTACGGTTACCATGGGAACTGATGTTCATCTGTTCCCTCTGTTGTTTCTCTGACTCTGAAGAATTGAACTATATCCCCGACTTTGAGACTTGTTGATCTTAAGTACTTGAGAATGTATAACATGTTCCTTATCTGGTTCTTAGCATTAAGTTTGTTAGATCATCAAAACATAACACGGATGCATAGAACCTATCAATTTTCCCCTTTTTGATGATGGCAAACTTATAATTGAAATCCCCCATGAGAACCAGAATGACATACGCATAACATGTATTCCCCCTGAATCTGTTCCCCCTCAATTAGCCTTAATTATTTTTCCCCCTTTTGGCATCATAAAAAGATCAGTAGCAAGCAATAAGCAAAAAGAAGTCTAGCTTGGTTAACTCATGCCACATGCGTGCACACAAGCATGATTAAAAACAGAGCAAAAGATCAGAACATACACAACAAAAGGATGAAACGTCCATTAATTTTTGAAAATTAAACAGGGAGCAGTTCCATTGTTACCAAAACATCCACAAAATAAAAACAACAAAAGGCACCAGTCATAAACATCATTAAGACGAAAAACAGAGGACGGACACTAGGAACTTGACACTGGGAATAGGACGGTTATTAATGGGCATTGAAAGGGGAAGTACTGGAGGCTGAAGAAGAGGCAAGGGTTCTAAGAAGGATGTCCATGCAAGCATTTGCAGAACCTTGCTCATTTAGATCCAGCTGCTTCGTGGGCCTGACTGAGCTGACTTTCGAGAATGTCATTCCGAGCCCTCAGCTTCCTTATTTCTTCAGTGGCACTATTTTGAGCATTGATCAGGTGAGAAATAGTCGAAGTGCTACCAACACCTCCACTCCTATCAATGCACTCACACTCTTCAAGGGTGGTTTTGGAGAAGGATTGCTTGCGAGTTCCTACTTTAGCATCTCCCAAAGGAACCTTGAAGAATTCAAAAATTTAGTGAGGAGAAACCCGTAAGGCAACCCATGATTACCTTCCTTGAACTCTGCTACTTTCTTCATGTGCTCTATCATAAGACCAGGCAGGTTTATAGTGGTGTATCCATCCAGTGCTTCCATGAGAACTAAGTCTGCTCGTGATGTAAAGGAGCGTCTTTCGGCATGTGGGAGTAGAACTTTGTTCACCATTTCAAATAGCAGTTGATACACTGGAAAAAGAGACTTCTTGTGTACCCGTTCCCCTTGTTGCACCGCCTTATCCTTCACAATGGTGTTTTTAAAATTTGTAGAGCAGACCCGAAGGACATCCCATCAGTAGGCACACCCAAAATGGCTCCCAGTACAGTAGTGTCCATCATAAAATCAACACCGTTCACATTTAGACAAATGTTATCATCCTCAACTATGAAGAAGTCAGCACAGAAACTACGCACTTCTGCCTCATATACTCTGGGATTTTCACTTATGAACATATGTGTCCACTATTAGAATTCACAGATCTCCACCAATTGGCACATTCGTGACTTATCCAGAATATCAGGGGCAAATGTACGGCCCCACAGTACCTTTTGAATTATCAATTTTTCCCTGCCAGCATCCGGGGCATCACCAACCT